AGTTGTTGTTTTGCCATGTACTTTTCAAACAATGTTAATATGCCCTAAGCCTACTGGGGTTACAGTAATGAAGTCATTTCCAATTAAAACTAATCAAATATGTAATTTTATATGTCCTTCATTGGTTAGAAAAAAATTCATGTAATTAACTTTGTCCTGAATTAAGTATGAGGACATCTGGCTCTACATTTAAAATGATGATATGTTATGGGAAAAACTATACTAGGCCTTCTTAATGTTGAACAAAAATGACAGACAATATTATATGGAAGCTAGATATATACATTTAGTGTTTCCACTTTAAAATCTAGGAGACAAAAAGGTCATTAATTTCTAGTAAATACATTATAGTGTTATTTCATGATTTCATTGATTTTTAAAATTGCTTTTTAAAACCTGATGTATAAATGTTAAACAGTTCTTGGAGCATGAATTTTAAGTGAGTTGTGTTTCTTCTCTTTCTTGTTAACCATTTCAAGTAAGCACAAAGTAGTTAGGATACTGCTCATATTTATTTTGAAACTTAACTCTTCAATGTGTTAACATGGAACAAGTTAAATTGGGGGGAACATGAGTCATTAGAATCAAGTAGCTTTTGAAAGTGTTCAAAATGTCACTGTCTTATTTATCCTATACCAAACAGGCATACATTTATTAAGTTGTAAAGTGCTCAATTCAGCACATGTAATGTTTGTTTGTATTTGTCTAATACTCTTCTTTTATGGTTGGTGCTTTTTGTGTTGCATAAGACATTAACTATGCAAATTTAGGAACATATTGTCCTGTGTTTGCCTTATGATTTATGATTCTAGCCTTTATGTTTAGATCTATTATTCAACTCAAATTCATATAAGGAGTGAGGTATATGATGTAGGTTCATTTTATCTTCTATATGAATACCCAGTTGTTCAGGACCATTTGTAAAAACATCCTTCTTTTCCTATAGTTGATGTGGACTTTGATTACAAATTAATTTTTTAGGTTCCACATGAGTGAGATTATGTAGAATTTTATTTCTGTGCCTGGTTACCAGGAGCTAGAGCAGTTGTGGGACTGGGCTGATGTTAGTCAAAGGACATAAAATTTCAGTTAGATAGGAGGAATAGATTCAAGAGACCTTTTGTACAACATGATGACAATAATAGCAATATACTATATTCTTGAAAACAATGAGAGTGAATGTTAAGCATTCTCACCATAAAAATAAAATAGTTGAGGTAATGTTTATGTGAATTAGCCAAATTTAGTTATTCTACAAACTTCAAATGTTGTACACAGTATAAAATTTAATCTTTCAATTTAAAAAAAAATTTTAAAAATTAAATATACACATGTCCATTTCCAAAATCTCTATTTTTCAACATATTATTGCTAAATTATACTCATTAGTGTAGTATACATTAAGTATTGAAATCAGATATGTAAGTCCTCCAATTTTCACAATAATTCTTGCCTTTTAATATGCAATTTAAAATAAACACATTTTTTTTAAATTTTTCAAAAGAGCTTGCTGAGATTTTGATTTTTTTATTTTTTCTAATTAGTTACTCGTGAGATTTTGATTTTGATTTGCATTGAATCTATAAGCCAGTTTGTGGAAGATAGATTACTTAATATTGATATTTCTAATCTATGGACTTGGTATTTGTCCCTGTTTTTCTTAAGTTCATCTTACATCTTAGCAAAGGTCTGTAGTTGTCTGTAGAAAAGCCTTTCACATCTGTTGTTAGAGGCATTCCTATTTACTTTGTTTTACATCTCTAACATTGATTTTTGAAATTTCATTTGTTCAATTCTTGTTGCTAGGATAATTATAATTTATTTTGTATATAATTTTATATACCACGGCCTTGTAAAATTCACTTATTAGTTCTAGTCGGGGCTTCTTATGTGTAGATTCCTTATAGTTTTGTAATACATATAAACTGCTAATCATGATACTTTTGTCTCTTCTTTTTATCTTTTCATTCACTTAGGGCATTGGCTAGGAATTCCAGTATAATATTTACTGTCAGAATATGCATCCTTGGCTCATTTCCAATTCTGGGGGGAAACTTCTAATATTTCCCTATTAAGATGTCAGCTATGGGATTTTTTTTCTAAGTGTACGTGATCAGATTGATGAATTTCCCTTTTTTTTTCCTACTTTGCTGTGAATTTTCATAATGACAGAGAATGAGGTTTGTCAATTACTTTTCTGCATCTGTTGAACTGATTATATGTAATTTCCCCTTTGATTATGTTAATGTGGTGAATCACTATGATTTTTAAGTGTCTAATGCAGGTATTTAAAGCTATGGGTTTTCTTCCATTTCCCTCCTCTTTAACTGCAGCCACAACTTTGGTATGTTACGTTTCCTTTTTCATTCAATTTGGAATGATTCTAGTTTTCCTTGTGCTTTCTTTTTTATCCTATGTATTGCTTAGGTGTCTATTGTTTAATATTCAAATAATTTGAGGTATTTGTTTCTAATATCTTGAGATTTTATATGATTCCAATATTTGTAAACTTATTAAGACTTTTAAAAAGTATTATTATTATTATTATTATTATCGGTTTTGGACCTTTATTTTTATGTGGTGCTGAGAATTGAACCCAGTGCCTCATGCATGCTAGGCAAGTGCTCTACCACTGACCCACAACCCCAGCCCCTTATTAGGACTTTTTTTTTAATGAAACAGTATATCTTGATGAATACTCCTTCTAGTCCTAAAAGTAATGGTGTGTTTTGCAGTTGTTGGATATAGATTTTAAATATCTGTCAATCAGTTCTATTTTAACATTACAGATTCTTCAGGTTATTAATTATCTAAATCATTAAACAATTATCTAAATAACCCAACAATTAATGCTAAGAACCTTTCAGAAGTGACCCAGATTAGAGTACTTAGGGTTTCCCATGTGACCCAATATTTACATTGAGCCTTATCATCCTTCAATTGGGTTTCATGTCATAAATGAAACTTGAGACCAAATAAATTACCCCTAGTCTATTAGATTCAATTGGAAACAGTATACCATTCTGGAATTCAAACACAAAGCCAAACTAACATTTCAGAATTATGTATATATAATGATAATAATCTTTCTTTTGTTCTTTTTTATAGATAGGTAAATATCACAAGAAAGTCTGTAAGCATACTGGTCTGTAAGGGGACCAGGTGGAGGGAGGGAGGGAAAGGGGAAGTACTAGGGAAGGAAATTGACCAAATTATGTTATTTACATGTACAAATATGTCACAATAAATCCCACTAGTATATATAATTATAATGTGCCAATAAAAAAGAATACTGATTTGTATATAGATTATTTTTCCATGAAGTTGAGTTACTAGAAACCAACATCAGGTTACTTCTCATTACTACCTACTACCTTCACACTCAAGTCTTAGGTGTAGACACAGGTATATGTGTGTTCACATTCATGTAGCAGAAACCTACCATAGAGAAATAACATGTTCCTAGGTCAAAGTAAAAAATATACACTGGTAAAGAATTCTTGTCCAGTAAGGCTGGAAGCTTAAAAGCATAACATCAGCTTTTAATTCTGAAGGATCTCTTAAGACACTACAGTATCTGAAATCTCAGGCTTATCAATGTTGTAAAGAAAAGTTTAATATGTTTTAAAAAACTATTCACAAATATAAATCTATTGAAGGAAAAAAATTAAATCCTAGTTAAAACAATAAATTGGCAGCTATATTTCTAAGTGCAGAGAGGGTCTTACTCTATGCCAGTGTCACATTTGACAAGAATTTAGAAATTTTAACCTTCAAATAAACATACTGTGTGTTCATATTATATTTATAAATTTTGGCATTCTAAAACCTATAGTCATAGATTAAGATCTGTACACTGTTCACTAGAATCAGATCTTGACTTCTGCTTAGATTTTTCACCAACCTAAATAATAAATGAATTAGTAGCCCACAATGGTAAGGAGATAAAAACAGATTGCAATGCAGCTCAAATTTTCTTCAAGCTCTTGCATATATTCAAAAAGACTTCCATTTCATTATGTTTGAGTTCTTTGAGTAACTTATAAAGGACTTAGAGTAATAACCAATTTTTTCTAGTAACCCAATGATCCATCATTCATTTCTACCATTATGCATATGCTCTTTCACTTTTAGTTATAGAACAGTCAGTGCAGCATCTCAGTTCAAGTTATTGACACCGTAGATACAAAATTGTTTTATTTCTTCCTGCTTTGGATTCTCTCATAAACAGTGTATTAGGCAGACCCATCTTTACAATGGATGCTATAAAAAGTCAAATGCAAAAGAAGAGTATGACAAAGCTCAAAAGTTAATAATTGAACCAAAAAGAGAATTGTGGCTATGTTGTAAAGTAGGAAAGCATGGTCCCTGACACTTCATGGGCATTTATTAGATATGTGATTATGAATGACTTAATCAAATGTAATGTGATCTGTAGCCATTACAATAGCCAGATATATCAGCTAAATTTTGAGCCAAAGGCAAACCACAAAAGAACATGTAGACTCATTTGATTCTTTTGAAGCATCTTTCACTCAAAGGTTAACATTCCCTTCAATAAGCTATATAGGCATGGCTGAAGCAACGAAAATGTGATCGCTCTGCTATTGTAGGCTGTATAACAAAAATACAGATAAAGCATACCTTTTGATTAGCTGCCCATCTACATCAGCCAGAAGTCATCAATGGCATTATAAATGCATCTATCATTGACCCACAGCATCTTCATGGAGAAGCTGAATGACATCTCCATTTCTAATTAGGAGGTCTTCTGAACCTCTCTTCCTGCAGTCTGCTAGGGCTTTATGTTTGCCTAGAGATTGTAATGGTGTTTTGAAAAATTATATTACAAACTTGATTGCAAAACTCCTTCAAGAACTGCCTGCTCTCTGTAACAAAGAATTCAGTCTTTACTTCAATGATAAATGGGGTAGCTGCAGTAGCTTTGCAGGAACCAAGTGGAGCAGTTTGTGATAGGAAAAAAAAAAACAGAACATGTGTTTATATAACCTGAAGAATTCTTTTTTATTTGGAAAAAGAATTACAGCGTGAAATGTACAGAAAATAATAGAGCACAACTAATTTGTTACATGAATTATAAGCATAAACCCAGAAAAGAAAACAAGCATGAAAATATTAAATTTTAAATACAATTATTTGTAAACTACTGTCAGGAAAATTTTATCTTGGCACATACAAAAGGCAATAGCCCTGAACAAAATTTACTAACACCCCCCAAAGGATTTATGAACTCTATCATTTTGCACAGGTTAAAGTAAGAGGCACCAAAGCTCTAGGTTCAATAAAAGCATATTAAATCATAATGTTGTGCTTCACTTGACTGTAATCATTTTGCAGCCATAATTTTAACTTAGTTCATAATAAGCTAAATAATCCAAGGCACACTGATTGCATTTGGTTACAAAGTAGATAGAGAAGAAGTGATTTTTCAAGTCCAAAAGTATTCTGAGATGAGAATTTTTGCAGCACAATATTTTACATGTTGAAATGCATGATTTTAGAAATAAAGAGTATCATAATTAAAATGTTGTAAATGAAAGTAAGGAAATAGTTATGTGCTGTTGATTCTTTGCATGTCCAAAGGAATCAACCTGAAAACAATATCCACATCATTTGGGCTGAATGTCTTTTGAGCAGTATTTTTTCCAAATGAGCTGAGGAGCGGGCAGGAAAGAGCTACTTGCTATTTGACATGGCAGCTTCATCAAAATAGGAGAGCCATCTCTGACACGGGTCTCTACAAGGGAAGTGGAACCCATTATTTATTTCTCAGTCATTTGACTTGATAAAGTGAAGCCAGAAGAACAGCTTATCCCAGCTTCTCTGGGGAGATGTATAGAATGCACAGTATTGCTCTTCCCCATGTTTTCCTTAGCACAACTCAGAAAATTATAAAGAGAAGAGAGGAAAACCAAGAGGTTTTTCTGTATTCCCATCCACTGTGATTAAAGCATTAATCAATTTTGCATATTTACTTTATTTTTTTGACATCGTAACTGGAAAAATGGCTACTTAAGACAGTTCCTGACAATCCTTTCATAGATCTGTAGCAAATGTTTAAACAAATTGGGTTCCTCTAAAGGAAGATGCCTCTCACATCTGAACAACTACCTTGATCCATTTCATTCTCAGAATTAATTATGGAAATTAAACTTCTTTGTGTTATTAGTCTAAACCAGTGGTCCTCAAAGTGTAGGAGGCAGACCACTGGGGGTTCCTGAGAACTTTTTTGAAGGGTCTGACAGGTTAAGCATACATTAAGACAGCATTTGCCTTTTTCACTCTCAGCCTCTCACAGTGGAGTCTTCTAAAGGCCACCAAGTACAATAGGTTAAACACAAGAGCAGATATGCAAATCCAGCTGTCTTTTACTAAGCCGTATGTTAATTTACAAAAGTAAAACACCTCTTCTTGCCAATTGTTTTGTTTTGAAAAATATGACTCTTAAATAAAAATGTTGTTTATACACATTTAAAATGGGTTTATTAATTTAAAATAAATCTTATTTCTCAGTTTTAATTTATAGTAAGGTAAATATGAATGGATATAACCTCCATAAATAAGAGTTCTTTGGAGTGGTGTATTTTCTAAGAATGTAAAGGATTCCTTCATTCATGATTTGAGAACTGCTGGTCTAGACAATGAATTCTAAGCAAATCTTTTACTCACCACAGTTTCTGCCTCTGTAAATTAGAGGTAATAAAGCTTGGCCTTTTTCACACTAATACTGGTAATATTAATTGATAAATCATTTAGTAAATGTAAGCTACCATGCAAATATGTATAATGGTCATCATATGAAAGAAAAGAAAAAAAAACTTCTACTTTTTTTTTAAAAACAAGTATTTCAGAGTCAATGCTGTGCAGCTTTGTGATTATCAATGCCATTAATCTCACACCAACATTCAGCCTTCCAAAATGAATTGGTTCCTCTGAAGGGCACCTAGGAGCAGTCCACTGCAAAGCATCATTTCCACTCTCCAAGCTAATGATTTCAGAGAAGCAGGATTCACCCTAAGCAGTCAGTTCTAATGCCCCTCTAGTAACTTGGTAGGATCCTAACATCTTGGAAACTATTTCTTCTATGAAATACTTCCACCCCAAACCCTTTCACTTTTTGGGGTACACCCTTGCTCTAGCATGCTGTCGTTTGATATCATGAGCACATTTTTTGAGAACCCACTAAAATATATTCCCCCCCAGGTATTATTAAATAGTTTTTAGCATGGAATTTTTACTTCCTATATTTTCTGATCTGGATTATAAATTGATTTCTAAAGTTTGTCTGAAGCTGCTTTATTCTCTAATTCTATCTTATACGCATAAATGGAAAACTCAGTGGTGGATAAAATTATACAGAACTATATATACACATAAATAGGTGCATGGAAAATTGGTGAAATATAAACAAGGTCTGTGGATAGTACTAATTTCCATTTCCAGATGATATTACAGTATAATTATGTAACATATTACCATCAGAAAGCCTGAGTAAAGAATAAACAGGACTTTAATACTATTTTTGTTAACTCCCTATGGATTTATAATTATTTCAAAATAAAAACTTAAGCAAATTCTATATAATGGGGGAGAAAAATAATGAAAATAATTTTTAAAAAAGATAAAATTGGTAAATTTGTAGAGATTTGAAAAGATTGACTATTCAATCAATTTCAGTAGGAACTCAAACAAATTCTACATAAAAAAAGAAGTACTTACTGAATGTTCATATGATTTGCTTCAAATCTTCTGGCTATGGAAAGTACCTAATGACTTTAAGGATGCTGACAAAAGATTGTCCCTATGGGCTCCATCTATTTCATCAGTGAAACTGCCTAAAGAATTTCAATTGAATATGCCATTACTAACCATTAGGGGCCTATCTTCTTCTTCATGGTCATCATAAGTAGAGTAGAAATAGTTGCTTGACCATTCCTCAGGCTCTTCAGAGATTCCTGCAGATTGTGACATCTCAGTCCAAACTATAAGAAAAATGTTGAGTGTAGCAGTTACTTATCAGTGCGGGTTCACTGCAAGGTGAGAAGTAAACTAGCTGTGATATTCAAGGTTTTAACCTTCAATGGACCAAGATTTGTATCTTCATCTGTATTATAATTGTAGATTAGACCACATTCTTTTATAATTTTTGACCTTTCACAAAGGGGCCAGTTGTATACTTTTTTAATTTTTAGAATGGTCACAAGGTGAGATTGGTTGTAAGTTGTTAAAAGTAATAAGTTAAATATCATTTTAGAAAATATTTACCCTCTCTTAGAAAGTCACCTGTTATAAAAAATTCTTTCTACAGCATTTTTTAATTGGTTCCACTCAAATAGTACCTATCAGATTCTACTTGGTATTATTATTTTGGGTTGGCTTGTCTCTCTCACTAGGCAGAGACTTTGTGTTATACACTGCTTGTCTTGTAAGACGCCTGGATGTAGGAGGTGCTTAAGTTAAAAAATGAATTTATTTAGATTAAGTAATCTAAGTCTTAAATTAACAAAATCTAATCTTGGCCAAAGTAAACTATGGTATTCATGTGACATTGGAAATCATGTCAACCTTCTCCAACTTGGTTTTCTCACCTATCAAAAGAAGTCATTGATACTAGCTCCTCTCTTTACTGCTCCAGTAAAGAGTGAAGTGACATTTAAATAAAAACTGAACTAGGTTATGATTACTTGTTTCTCCTAAACTAGTGGATTACCCTTCCATCTAAGGACCATCAGATTAAAATACTGAGTCAGGCACTCTAATTGGCATCTCTCTAGTGGTGTCCAAGTTGTTTAGGTAATACTACTGTGTGCTTCTACAGCACCCTATTTTAACACTTGCCACATATAATTTTAATTGCTTGTTAAATTATCTCTCTACCCTCCCAGCTATGTGAGAATGCAGCTGAGTGCATTTTAATTATACTTTAGGCCCAAACTTTTGCACAATTCCTGGCACACAGGCCATATTATATTATAACATTTGTTGAACTAAATAAACTATTTAAAATCACTTCATATAACATAATTTCCATAAGGACAATAAATATTCCATCTGTAAGTGATCCTTCCCTATTCATCAAACCATGGTAAGTGAAGGGTGCACTGGCACCAGTAGATGCATTTCATTCATCACTGCATCCTCTAATGCAGGGATTCCCAAACTTGAGCAGGGATCCGAATCATAGAGAGCTGCTCAAAATTTCAGTGGCTAAGCCTCACACCTGGAGTTTCTGATACAGAATGTCTGAGACAGAGCCAAAGAAATGTGCCTTCCATATAACAAGTCCCCAGGTGATATTAATGTTCCTGGGTCCAGGGACCATACTTTGACAACCACTGCTCTGTAGTGCCCAACAGAATGATTTGCATATGCAAGATAGGAGAGCCTGATAAAAATGAGTTGGCTTTGTTTTCTTTAGACAAAAATAACAGACATAGATTTTCCAAATTAACAATGGGAGATTTAAAAAAAAAAAAGAACTTGCACAGCCATGAATCTCATCTGAGGATGACCATGACACATACCTGCATTTGCTTCTGCCTGAACTGACACAACTGCCTCACTGACCGCCACCATAGCACTGGGTTGTTCCGATTCAGTTTCCTGGATACTTAGAAAAGCTCCCTGTTGCTTTCTGAAATAATAATGTATAAAAATAAGTGAGCTTTCACATAATCTAAGAAATAGTAAGAATTTAGAAATGGTATTTCTTCCATTCTCAGAGAATTCATTCAAAGAGCAGATATTCCCCCCTTTTGAGATCTGTGTGATAGTATGCAAAAGCCTAAATCATAGGATTCAATCCAACAGGTTCTCTGTTGTGCAAAGCAAAAACTAATCCTGTCTAGATCCAAGGTAGGTACACTGTGTACAATCCCTGTTGCTCTTGAGCTTCTAATCTCGGTGAATCAGATAAGTTTTGTATAAATGAAGATGAAAATTTAATTGAGCACACCCCTGAAATCCCAGTATCTTGGGAAGTCAAGACAGGATGATCACAAGATGAAAGCCAGCCTCGCTAAAGTGAGGTGCTAAGCAACTCAGTGAGACTCTGTCTCTAAATAAAATACAAAATAGGGCTGGGGATGTGGCTCAGTGGTTGAGTGCCCCTGAGTTCAATCCCTGGTATCAAAAAAAGAAAAAAGATTAAATTCATTTGTATTGTCACATTTGTACCAGCTACTATTAAGTCAACTACTGCATAAAAATAAGTCTTTATTTCTCTAATATATGATAAAAAGACTGGGTATTGTAAACCCTAGAAGATAAAAGACTTTTATGGTTTATTATCCTAAAGCCTCAAATGAAACACCATGTGTTGCCTCTGATTTTATCTACTTCTAAAAAATGATGTGCAACAAAGGAAAAAGAATCTAATAAATTATTCACAATGATCCCACCATCATGCAGATACTGCATGGTCAATCTCTGTACCAGGGTTTTGGAATCAGTGTGGGAATTCTTACTGTGTACATGCGAATGATCTGTGGACAGTCTACCCTTTAGAATTACTAAATGCAGGACAGACCATATCTCTTAAATCAGTAGCAGTGTGCTGTCATATAAGACTGCCACTTTCCTTAAAGACTTCCTGGCTACATCCAAGTTCAGTTCCATGTCAGTATCCATACCTTCTAACTTATACAAAGAAAGAACAAATCACAAACAAGTTGCCTCCATTCAAGAGATTACAAAGCTAGCTGGGTACAATGGCAATCCCAGCAGCTTAGGAGGCTGAAACAGGAGGATCACAAGTTCAAAGCCAACCTCAACAAGTTAGAAAGGACCTAAGCAACTTAGTGAGACCCTGCCTGACTCAAAATGCAAAAAAAAAAAAAAAAAAAAAAAAAAAAAAAAGGCCGAGGATGAAGCCCAGTGGTTAAGCACCCCTGGATTCAATCCTGGGTACCAAAAAGAGAGAAGGGGTGGGAGAGGGAGAGAAGGAAGGATAGAGAAAGATTACAAAGCTTACAAAGCTATGAGCCAGTTCTTCATCTGCTTTGTTCCCATATTCTTATAACTCTGTCTCCAATTATCATGATATACTGAAAACAAAGCATTTTAATTGTGTTCTAAATCCAGCCTGAGATATAACTATTAAGGACTCTTAGACTCCAATACAAGATCAGAACTGAGAAAATGATGTTTGTGGAATTTGATGAGTTATTGCTAAAATGATGGGTTGGTTCTTGTCTGAGATACCTTAATTGCATTGCTTCACATTACCTATGGAAAACAGAAGATTGCAGGAGTGATAGTTCTTAAAGAATTATCACTTACTCATCACTCTGCTGAGGAGAAAGCCGTTCCTGTTCTGTAATCGGTTCTTGTTGCTTCCGTTTTTTAACTGTAAATAAAACAAACCTTATATAAGCATAATTTAGAAGCTATACTTCCTACTTAAAGGCCAAAAAATTTTTTTAACTTTTTTTTAGTCATAGTTGGACACAATACCTTTATTTTATTTATTAATTTTATCTGGTGCTGAGGATCAAGCCCAGGGCCTCTCGTGCTACGTGAGCACTCTACCACTGAGACGCAACCCCAGCCCTACAAGGCCAACAATGTTTACAAACATACTCACACACTTACACACAAATCTTTCAGAGACCTGAAGTAACCAGAGGAAAGGCAAGTCTGAAGGTAGAATTTGGAAAGGTCCAAATCATGTGATATTTTATTCAAGGAGTTCACATTTTGAACAAGAATCTGTCCCCTATCTCAACTTCACCAGGTACAAATTACTTGAGGTCCTAAAATGAATCATCTCCTGGGAAGGACTAGGAATTAACAGTCAGATCTCTGTGCTGCTTTTAAACAGCTTCTCAAGCAGAGGTTCATTTTGTAGTGTTTGAATTCTCTTGCTGTTTAATAAACCATTTCATTTTAAACAGAATAAAGTAAATATTAGCCCCATTCTCTGAAAAAAATTCACAAAATCTGAGCCAATGAGCTGTTACTATGCTTGTTCTAAAGAATATATGTTTGGAAAAAATTTTAAAACAACAAAAAATTGAAAAAAAAAAGAATATATGTTTGAATTTACCTGTCATAAGTTCCTGTTGCTTCAACAAAATATTTCTTATTTCTTTTAACCATGACATCTTCACATCTACATTCGGAGCCTAAAGATTAAAAAGGGTAGAAGGTATATTTCTTCTAAAAAGAATGCTTTTATAATTAAACAAATGCAATTAAGTATATCAAACATGATCTACTCCTTAAAATACCATATTCAAATTCTAGTATTTTGATTCTTAAAACTTGTAGGGAAGGAGTAAATCATTAGCCATAAGATAGATGAAATAATGCAGTTCAAGCCATTATAAAATTGCCCTTAATAATCGAATAATAACAAATGGATAGAATGCAAAGTATAAATTCATTCATTTTAAGTTTTTTTTTTTTTTTTTTGGTAACAGGAATTGAATCCCATGGGATGCTTAACCACTGAACCACATCACCAGCCCTTTTTATATTTTATTTAGATACAGGGTCTCTCTGAGTTGCTTAGGGCCTTGCTAAGTTGCTGAGGCTGGCTTTGAACTCATGATCCTCCTGCCTTTGCCTCTCGAGCTGCTGGGATTACAGGTGTGTGCCACCATGCCTGGCAAGGAGGGAGGTTCTTTTAAAAATATATATTTTTTATGTTTAGTTTTGGTAAAATAATGCTCTAATACTTCCAGAATTAAAATTGTTTGGAGAATGATCTTAGTGACTGATAACATGAAAGCTTCCCTACATATCCTCCCATTACTCACAAGATACATTTGTTAAATGATTCCAAGCTTTGTTTGGTACTAGGGATTAAACACAGGGGTGCTTACCTACTGAGCCACATACCCAGGCCTTTTTTTTTTTTTTTTTTGAGAAAGGGTCTCACTAAGTTGTGGAGGCTGGCCTTGACCTTGTCATCCTCCTGTATTAGCTTCCTGACTCACTGGGATTACAGATGTGCATCACTGTGCCTGGCCAAATACTATATCTTTAAGCATTTTTATGAACTGCAAACAGTACAGAATTAAAGTAAACAAAAATTGCTGAGCACTTGCAACAGATTCAGTCACAAGTCAGGTTACAAAGATTTATTGAATATTTGATAACATCTTGAAAGGATCTGCTTCCTGTCCCCTTCTGTAATGTAAGATGGACCTTATATCACATCTGGCCAGGGCTTTAACAATATTCTTTAGAAGCAGGGAGCAAACCTTAACTGTTGCATCTTGTAATCATGTACACTTCAAATGATGACAACAAGAGAACTCGGAACTATTACAATCTCTAACTCTAGAAACTTGATGAGGCAGGGAAGTACCTCCCAAACCATCAGCTACAGCTGATAGATATCCTTGTGTAGTGGTAAAAATTAAAGCCCTAAAAAAACACCCAAGTTTACCTCAATTTAAAGAAATCATGTGCTACTGCACAAAAATGTTTAAATATACCTTAAAGAATACTCAAATAATAACAGTTGAGAGTGGGGCCTTTTAAAATGTGACCAAAATTATTTCCTGTGCCACTCAGACTTCTTCCTTTCATTCTTTCTCTCCATCCCCTTTCTGACAGGGTCTCATTATGTTGTCAAGGCTGGCCTTGAATTTATGATCCTCCTGCTTCAGCATCCTATATCACTGGGATTACAGGCCCATGCCACTACTCAGATTTTATATGTTAATGCAGATTACAGTTTCTAGAATAATTTTTAAATGACCAACCTGTATAATATAAACTTCTTCCTTCCCACCATACCAGATTTCAAACTTGCGGTTGTCACCTTTTACATATTCTGTGATTCCAACTTCATCCATCTATAAGAAATAAAATTTTCATGAGCATTTTATTTTGAATATACAATTACATTAAATATATCCCATCATATTCTTAGTTAAAGAGAATGTTTTATTTGGGCAAAATAAAAACGATCTTAGGCACGAGTATTTGTTTTCATGGAACTATGCACTTTTGGTGTTCAGACTGCAAGCTCCATTCCAGTGATTGACACAAATGTTACAAATCTAAACATCCACACAGCCCATCTATGATTCAACTCTTTTATAAATTATCTGTGTGCTATTCAAGCAAATTATCAGTGAAATCTAATTAAACATTAGTGAGAAAAGCCACCTGAAGTTAATGAAACTTAGTTTTTGAAATTATTATCTGTCAGATAAGTAATAAACTTACAAGATTAACTAATCTCTATAGTATGCCTACAAGTTATAAACATCCAATTTATAAGGCAAGGAAGAACCAGCTAGGAATCTCTCTACTTCCACCAATCCTTCAGACTCTATAGAAACCAAAATCTCTATCATAAGACAGTGATATCTTCCTATAGTCAGTAAAACTTTTGTACACAGTATCTTTTCCTTACCACAGCTTTTCTCCTCCTCTAAATGTCTGTACTTTGCACAATTTTCTTTCATCATTTGCTGCTAATACCTCGGTTAATTACATTTGGGGCAATTTCACTCCCTTGTATGCACCTTCTCTTTTAGCTCTTTTCTCCCTTTCCTCTTTTCTTTCAATTCCTACCCTAATTACCTGAAAGACATCTCATACTGTTCCACTTATGAGCCCCCCAAATGGTCCTAATTAAAACCAAGAATCATTAAGGGTAGTGCTAGTGAGACTCCCAAATCAAGGAAAAGGAAAGCAATTATGCTTAGAAATGAAATGCAACCTAATGAAAGAGCCTCTAACTCCACCCTGAATGTAGGTGGAAGTTACTTTCAAAATGGCCCAAAACATATTTATGTTCTTACTATACCACTGTAACCTACTTTTGCTCAAATATTAAGATGTAAGATGAATAATAATCTCACTCTGTATTTATAATGTGTCAAAATACACTCTACTGTCATGAATATCTACAAAGAATAAAAATAATAATCTCACATTCAACCTTTTTAAAAATTAATTTTGTTTCAACACATGATCTTCCCTTAATATATAATAAGAAAGCAAATGGGCTTTGAAGTCAGAGAGGGCTGGGTTGGAAGTCCATCTCTCCATTCACTAGTGTTTCCTGGTGCTAGTTGCTGAACTTTTCTGAAATTCCATTTCCTTAACTTGCAATGGGAAGAACACCTATTTCAAGGAGCTCATTTAAGAGTTAAATAGTGTATATTAAATGCTGATTACAAAATGAACTATTTAAAAAATGAATTCTTATGTTCCATGCATGTATTAATCCCACTATTATAATTATAATGAGCCAATAAAAATATGAATTAATTTCCTATTCCTTCTCTTATTTGAATTCCATTAGTTTTGTTATTTGTCATTGCTGGCATAGAGCATATCTCTAGTGACTAAATGAATTTTGGAGTTGGACAACACATTGTAAGTACTATGTGCATGTTTATTTTTTTAAATTAAAAGAATTGGTGATAATAGTAAACACATGAACTGAGGAATCTGAAGAAATCAAATTTCTTCCTCTGGTTAACTGTGGTCTTACATAGAGTTTGTCTTTGCATATAAGTGGCTGGCTTAAAATATAGCATGTGTTCATTAGAAAGACATGGTCAGGCCATGAGACTCCAGCTTGCTGTGATGCAGTCAAGACAAAGAGTTCATTTAAAGTGAGCGACAAGTTGCTCAGCAGTAGCGCATCTGTACTGGATAAGCCCACCAAAGGTAAGACTTTAAATTTAATTAACCTGATGGTTCACTAACAACATGCTGTCTAATAATACTAGCAATTGCTTAATGGTGGAATCTCCATGGTACATGAGCAAGAGGAAGTAAGCATAATAAAACCTAAGAAATACCCTGATTTCTCAGTCTAAAGCATCACCAGTTTATCAGGAATCCTGGTTTAAAACCTTGCAGCATCAATGTTTCTTTTTTTTTTTCTTTTTTAATTAAGGATACTTGAAATTGTAGGGGAACCAAAGAAGAATCTGACAGATTTTCTTTCTTCAAATGTCAAGTATTATTTATTTCTTGTATCTAGCAAGTCACTCAGCTCAAGTCTACCTTCCCTTGAAATGTTTCCTGCATCTATCCCATGCCATTTCCATGGTAACTTTTGTATTTTCAATTCTCCTGATGTCATTACTTCATGTCAATCCTGCCTTACTTTAATGTACTTGAGAAACATTCTGTTGGCATGCCCATCATTGTGTCAAAATACAAGTAAAGTCAGGCATGGTAGTGCATGCCTGTAATCCCAGCAACTTGGGAAGCTGAGTCAGAAAGATGAAAAGTTTGAGACCAGCCTCAGCAACTTGGTGAGACCCTGTCTCAACATAAAAAATAAAAAGGGCTGGGAATGTGGCATAGTGCTTCAGTACCCCGAGTTCAATCCCCAATAAATAAATAAATAAAACTAGAAAATCAGTACACATCAGAAGTGCTACGTTAGGTAGTAACTAGGTCACCTTACAACTAAAAAGTGAATCAAATGGATTTGGGTAAAAATATGCCTAGGAAAGCAAAGTACTTTCCCAAGGAATAGGTACACACACAGCAAAAGATCTAAACCCTGTCTGAAATAGATTATGACTCCTTGGCTCTCAATCAATGTCCATTAGAGTCATAAAAGACCCTTAGAGATTTGGGGTTTTGGACATAGACTGCAAGCATCAAAGTAGCATCTGGGCATTTGTGATAATGACAGCTGGAATCCTAAAGAAGCTATGAAGCTGGGCTGGGGCTGTAGCTAAATAGTAGAGTGCTTGCCTAGCTGGGTTCGAGCCTCAGAACGAACCACATAAACATAAAATAAAGATATTGTGTCCAACTACAACTAAAAATAAAATTGGAAAAAAAAAAAGAAGCAGGGCTGGGGTTGTGGCTCAGTGGTAGAGTGCTTGCCTAGCATGCATGAGACACTGGGTTCAATCCTCAGCACCACATATAAATAAATAAATAAATAAATAAATAAATAAATAAATGAATAAATAAATAAATAAATAAAATTAAGATATTGTGTCCGTCTACAACTAAAAAAAAATGATAAAATTTAAGCGGTGAAGCTGCTGTGGATACAGAAGTGAAGAAGGGAAAATAGTGGGAAGGGCTCGGAGACCCAACCCTGCACAGGAATCTTGTTTGGAACAGCAAGAGGCAGCTGACCCTATGGGGAGAATCAAAAGCAGAGTCTGCTTATCTGGTAGCCTTCCTATATTATTTCCAAAGGCCTATCACAGGACACTGCCTGTCCTCTTTAAAAATGCTGAAAATTCTACTGGTTCTCAAATTTACTGGTAATGACAACTATGATAAAACATTTTTATGAAAAATGACTAAATGATAGTGACTGCAGAATAAAGAATGAGAATAGCCAA